TTAACATATTTTCTTGGGTAATGGGCTGTGTTGTATAATGACTTTTAAATTTATGGGTCTTCTGCAGTTGCACTCTGAAAAGTTACGGGCACATAATTTGGTGAATAACATAGAATGGAATGAAGAAAGGAATACTATTGTTAGTCTTCATAAACAATAATAAGCTCTTTCTTGAATCCAAGTGTTGAAGTGCTGATTATTACTTTTGGGAAGTGATACATAAGCAGTGTGAAATGGTGTGGCTCACACTCCAGCGAAACTGTTGAATGTGTTGCTTGCTTCCTGTGGAAACAAAAAACTGCCTGTGTGTTGTAGGTAAGAGATTAACCAGCATGTAGGAAACGGAGCCCTTTTAAGAGAGGGCACACCAGAAATACTGAACACGAATTACTGGATTATACAGTCAATGAGTAAGATTTTTCAGTGTTTGGAAAATGAGTCAGTGCAATTTTCATGCTTTCAGTTGCAGTTCCTTCATCTTCTGACTTTATGTATAAGATCATCAGCTCAGCTGCTGACTCTTGAAATACTTTTGCTGAAAACCATTTTGGTGAATATTAAAGGCGCAGCCTCAATGCTGCACAAAAAGAAAGAGTTTGAGAATAGTTTACGTAAATGCATGCCGTATAATTTAGTTGGCAAGACTGAAACAGTAGAACAGACGCTTTTGCTAATTTTAAGTTCCTGGAAAAATGTAACTAGGATATCTCAATAGAGCCAGACTTGTGACACTGATTATGCCCAAACTGCGTTGCCTTCAAAAGTCAGGGATGCAAATGGACCTGAAAATCAATTTTGTATCTAATAGATACTTCTAAGGAAAAATGAAGTTTGTGGTTTGGTGGAGTTCACATGGCTTTCAGAGGCATTTTTCTACTGACTCCACCTAACACTATTGTGAGGGAAACTGTCAGTAAAGAATACCCATTTGTATCAAAACAAGTCTGTAACTAATTTCGAAATTGATACATAATACTTAAAGTTTCTGCTCTTTTTCACCTGTAGCTTAAATATTCTGCCTTTGTTTTCTCTTGCAACTGATTCTCTTAAAAAACAACTGAATTGAAAGTTATATTCAGTTCATCTTGCAGATAACAGAAGGTAAAAAGAAAGCATCGCCCTTGTATTGCTGTGAACAACTTGCCTCCTGTTTAATTTTCTGATTCATTAATGTAACAATTTCTTATCCATGTGGTATGTTAGTCCTGTGAAGCTAGTCATGTTTGGCTTCATCACAGGATTTCTCATCTTGTTTATCTTTCCTCGATGGAGCTATGTTTTGTATTCTAATTAAGTATGTTTAACTGTTCGTCTTTAGGGTTGAAGCAAAGCTTGAAAACTGGTACGTTACGGGCCTGAGGCAAGAAAACATTGTACCATCTCTTGTGGCTTCCATAGGGGATAGCAAGTCTTCCCTACTGAAAATAGAGTTTAATGTTAACCCAGAGGATAGTACTGCTGACCAGAGTCTTACTATTGAATCACAGCCTGTGGAAATAAAATATGATGCAGTGAGTAGTAACTAAAACTCTTACCTCTTTTTCTGCATCTTCTTTTTCTGCAGTTATTTTCTTTGCTCTGTCAAAACATATTTTTGAGTTTCTACTGAGTGACTTCTGTGTATATTGATAATTCTTGTATGTCTGTGGTTTTTTTTTTTTTTTAAAGAGAACAATAAATGCAATGGTAGAATTCTTTCAGACAAGTAAGGGAATGGATCTTGAAAGGTTAACATCAGCCACATTAATGAAGCTGGAAGAAATCAAGGAAAGAACAGCTACAGGTAAAATAATATCAAATCTCAGCTGAGGCCAAACGTTGAATGTCTTAAAATGTTTGAATACTTTCAACACTTTGCTTATGTTTTGATTGCTGGCCAAATAGTATGATAGGGTTTTTTCTTTGAGCTTTTGACTTAGTGAGAAATCACTAGAATATTACAAAAGTCAGTCTTTACTCAAGATGCGTTATCTTTCAGATAAATAGCATCTCTTTACAAGCTGGCTGGCACAAATGTTTCACTTGCGAAAAGCATTTCAATTGTCATGTCCTTTCCTTTCTGTTTAAGGATTAGTTCATATTATCGAAATGCGGAAGGTCCTTGACTTGAAGGTTAATCTGAAACCTTCCTACCTTGTGGTTCCACAGACGGGTTTCTACCATGAAAAATCAGATTTGCTGATTTTGGATTTTGGTACATTTCAGGTAGGTAAATGGCCTTTCCTCTAAGCTCAGAGGAAGAAAAGCTTATTTCTCTTAACATATTTGTCTTCTGAAACTACCTTGTTTTCAGAAGAGAAAGATGATCATCTACGTGAATGCGTTTTAACTTACCATATTTCTTACCCAATAAATTTGAGATGGCAATTTCATAAACGTTTAGAGCTGTTGTCTTTGGCATACTTGTACTAGTTAAGCTCCCCAGGAAACATGTTCATTTTGTAATTATGGTTGTAATAGTTTATCATTTAATATCTTTTATTTCTTCAACAAAACACATGAACTTTTGTTTCCTTTTTTGTAAAAGAATAGCCTTTTAGTATGAAAAGAGAAACTAATTTTTCTCTTGGTGTTTGAAAGTTGATTCCCTTATTCCTGTAAAATTGAAAGATTACAATACTTTGACTTGCTTTTAGCTGACTGATGAAGTATTTTAGTTGTACTTTAGCAGTAAACTAATAAGAAAAATTATTTTTGTATAACTTGAATTAAGTGGATTGATAGAAGTAACAAAAAAAATAAATCTACTTATTCTTAGGCCAAGTGTGAAATGAATTAAGATCTCTTCTCTGTAAGAGTCCAAATGTGAATCATAAACTCCTGTGAATCATCTTTTTAATCTTTATTAGAATTAGTAGCATGTGTATAGACTTAACTTGATTGTGTCCTCTATGTGTTTAGCTGAACAGCATAAATCAAGGCAGTAGTCAAGCTTCTAGCTTTTCATCTTTAGAGGAGATAATGGACAAAGCTTATGACAAGTTTGATGTGGAAATAAAGAATGTTCAACTTCTTTTTGGAAGAACAGGTAATAAAACAACGTAGTTGCTGTTTACTCAAAAGATTGGTGAAGGCTTCCTACCTGTAATAAATAAATAAATATGTTAAAGAAAAAAAGGCAAACCAAAACCAGTAGTTAACCAAAAGCTAGATTATAATACACGTCTGGTGTTAAACTGTGAAAAAAATCTATTAGTTTTTCTTCAAACAGCTGCTTGCCTTTTGTTTGGACTTGGGTGTCACCTCTTTACTTTGATGCCAGCCAGCAACATAAATGCATTATGTTTTCTGTCATATGTAGGAAAACGCAGCTAAAATTTGCCTGAATACTTCATTTGGACTTAAGTTTGTTCAGTCGACAGAATGCTAGGTTGCTGTTTTATATTTATCTGTCCGTGCATCCGTCTATCTATTGTTTTCTTAGGGTTCTATGTTCATCTTTTAGTGTAGAATTGGGTTTAAGGCAGCTAAGGCAATATAGCGTTAAGAACTATTGAAACTGGATTCAAAAGCTCTTAAAATACTTCACCCAAGTTGTTCTAGGTTTCTCTAGTTTGAGTGGGTTCTTTGTCCTTTCCTAGTGATGCCATTTGATTACTTTAATGATACCTTAATTAAAGCAAATAGCTAGTGATATTTTTTATCTAAATTTACTGAATGTTTGCAGGCGAAGACTGGAAGAAGGCTCGCTTTCAACATCCATCAACTTTGCACATATTGCAGCCTATGGATATTCATGTACAGTTGGCAAAATCAATGGTGGAAAGAGATACCAGGATGGCAAAGTAATACATTAGTGTTCAAAGGACTTCTTTTTAATTACTGTGTACTTACAGAAAAGAAAACTATATTTTTCCCAAAGTTCAGTTGCACTTTATAATGTGAAGGTATTAACCTGAGAAATACAAGTAGTTTACTGCTTTTTATGAAAACTCTTTTGACTAGTAGTTCCCTAGTCACTTTCACTGGTTAATAACTATACTGTTTAAACTGAGTCCAACCTGATTTTAATGCAGAATTGCTAGCTTTACTGTGATGGAATCTTTATGTATGATATATGAGTATAGATATTGATAAGATCTAAATCAAGAATTGGTATGTACTTTTTTTTTGTCTTGGAGTTTAATCAAATTTTTTTGTTAAAAAAGGTTTAAAGTGTCAGGAGGACTTCCTTTGGTGCATGTCAGACTCTCTGACCAGAAAATCAAGGCGATATTTGATCTGATTGATAGCATTCCATTGCCTCAGAAGTCATCCATGTCAATCTCAGGCACAAAGGTAAGCTGACTATAATTAAGAAAATGGAAATTAAAAAAAAATGACATCACTGAAGTGATCATTATGAGTATGAATTCCTGCTAATGCCTGTCATGTTTTTCACTTGAAATAAGAGATCTGTTGTCAAGCTGAGTTAGGCAAAGTGTCTTCATTATGGCTTACTGTCAGACGTGCTGGGTTTATTCAAACAAGGCTAGCTTAGCTGTTGTCATTGTCCTGCTGGTTTCCAATATAAGCGTTGTCAAAACTGACCTGTCTAAGTAATATGGGGAAGGCAAGGTGAAACATGCATTAGTAGAAAATATGACTGAACATATGAATTATGCAAACTTTAAAATAGTGTTGTTTTTTTTCTTTATCCCTCCCTCTAGGTACCAGCTGTTCAGACAATTTCTGCTGTTAGCAAAGGGTTGCTTAATACTCCCCAGTTGTTAGCAGAAATAGTGTCAGGTAAGAGGCTATAAATATGCTTTTGTTAAAGTAGAAGTCCTTAACTTGTGAAATAGCTAACATTTTCAGGCTCCTATTGATCTTAAAAGATGTTTTAGGGATAGTGGAGATGAGTATGATCATCTCTAACTTGAAGTGCATAAGAAGATTAAATTAAGATGCTGATGCTACCTCAGAGTAATTAACTTGCTTTTTTTAAAAAGAAAAAAAACCTTTTGGGATTAGTTATTATTTATGCTTAAGCAACCTCCTACAGTTAATAACAAGTGTATTAGGATGTCATTAGCAAACCAGTTGAATCATTCAGATGTCACGCGACATCTTTTTAGCAGAGAGAATTGAGGAACTTGCTTTTTCATAATTGACTTAAATCTAAAAATGGATTTAGCCAAATACTACTCTGCTGCTACTGCCACTTCAGGACACATGCTTTAGGGTGAGCGCATAAAAAAGGCGAGTAACGTGTCTAAAGGATGTGTACACTTGCATTAAGCAGCCAACGTGTGTCAAAAATAGGCTGTTACAAACATCACGTGTACTGTCCTGAGTGTGTTGTGTTGGCAAAGCTCTCTTCCTGAAAATGCAGAACTAGAATAACAAGTGGCAAATGAATGTATTGACTCTCTGGATTTGAGCATTCACTTCTGTGGCTCTTCTGGAGAGGAACTTTCCTATAGTGGAACATGGGAAACTTGTTTCCTGGAGCTTACTTTATTACAGGTTTTCTTTATATGTAGTGTTATATGTCTAATGATAAAGTTCAACTCTAGTACTTTCATTAATAGGGATTTTGTTTTCTTCACTTTTCATCTAATGGGTAAGAAAGCAGTATAGACCTAAAAAGTATACTTTGTCAGATTAGGTATAAACTGCTCACACAGTTCAAAATCCCGTTGGAATGGGAAGGAGAGAGCGGGATGTTTAGCCCTGTTTCTGGAAAAAGTTTACTAAGGAGAAAGTCACTTCTCTTCTGTAGACTCTGAAGAAGAATATTTTGATGTAGAGGAAAGTTCTGAACCAACTGACAGGACACTAATTAAAGGAGAAGAAATAAGAGATAAGGAGCCTGCTAAAGAGGAACTGACAGATCTTCAGTTGAAGTTCGAAATTAAAGAGGTGTGTCTCTGTAAATCTATTTTTGCCTTCTACATAAAGAATATTTTTAAAAATTTCTAGCATTCTATTACCATTGTTCTCCAGATTTAGTGGATTCAAAAACGTAGTCACCAAACCCAAAAAACCTGCGTGTATATACATACATGTTTTTATGTATGAGTTATTTCTATATGGTATGTGTACAAGTTAATTTTATAAATGGTATGTATGTAAAGAAAACGTATATAAATACTTCAGCTGAGTGTATGTATTAAAAAAAACTGCAAAAAAGCCCCTTACTAGAGTATTTTTGGTAGAAAATAGTCGTACCAAGTCATAATTTGGGGGTGGGAGGTGGGAAATTTGCGCTGGAAGAATAAAGTAAACACCCAGGCAGGTCACTTGCAAAGAGCAAATCCCAAAATTTTTCTATGATATTGATATCTCACTGTCAAACAGTCACTTTTTTCTGTTTTGACACTTCAACTCTGTAATAAATTAATACTTCCAGTAAAGCAGGCGAGCCATTAATTTTGTGCTTTTTATCGTTGTTTGAATGGTAAGAATACTATATGTGAAGAGATGGCATAACTGTGTGTTTCTTGCTCATCCAGGTTTTAGTAGAACTCACCAGGCAAAAGAAAACTGAGGAAACGGTGCTTGTATTTGATGTAATGCATCTTGGGACAGAAGCGACCGTCAGAACCTATAATTTAGCAGCTGTATCTTATTTAAAGAAAATAAGCTTGGATTACTATGAGATTGGAGGTAATAAGCAATGGAAGACAAGTATACTAGTGTGTGTATATTATGTATCAGTTAGAAACTGTGGTCCTCCTGTCTCTTGTGCTCACAGAAGTGCGAATGTTGTTGTAGTTTTCCAGTTACAATACTTAGTATGCAACTGTCCACTGGCAGTGCTTGTCCCAGTGGTACAGTTGATAAGCTCTGGACTCCCACTGTCATGGTTATTAGATAAATAAATAGTTTAGTGTTCAGTCTTTAGATAGAGAAGGGGTAGAGACGTGCCATTTTGGGCTTAAGGAAGAGAAACCCATGATTCATATCTGGTAGTGCAATGTATTTTATAACAAACGGCACTGAAAGTTAATCCCTATCTTCTAGGCATGGCTTCTTGGGTTCTCTGAAAGAACAGAAATTACTCTAATTCTTGTGTGTTTCGTGTGGTATGTTACAGGTAAAAAAGCACCCATTCATCTAATTAGTTCATCAGATAAACCTGGCTTAGACCTTCTGAAGGTGGAATATATCAAGGTATACATACAACTTTTAAAATGTATTTTTGAAGCACTTTAATAAAACCTGAAACCTGCTATTCAGACTAGTGGATTGTTTTTTTCTGCTGAAGAGCACAGTGACTGATGGGAATTCCTATTAACCTTCATGTGAATCATTATTTTTCAGGCTGACAGAAATGGGCCACACTTCCAGACAATTTTTAACAACACCGAACAGATGATTCAAGTGAGTGCTTGCAGATTTTATTGCTTATTTTCTTTTGTTTTGCTTGCTAAGAAGAGAAGATTCAAGAAGGGATTTTTGGCTTTCCTGTTTCCCACCGCCCTGGCCTTGCAGCGGGAAGATTTAAACAGTTAAAACATACTTGAAAGTTTTAGTACAATTTAATGTTTCAATAATAATTGTTTCTTAATTATGATGAAAAACTGACTAGCTAGCTCGTGTGGATAAAATTAAGAATAATGTAAGAATGCATTTTCCAGTGCATATGAGACGATGAAGTTCAAATGCCCAGTACAGGAAAATGTAGTGGGGTCCAGAAGTCTTTCCCTTTCCTGTCAAATAATCTGTATTGAGTGCCACATCATCAGCACTCTAATGGCTAAATTTACTGAGAAGTTTAAGTTCATTTATGAGTGCTTTTGGTTTTTTTTCTCAGCCAGGGGGAGGGTGAAAGGGAGCATCTTCTAATTCTTCCCTTTGAACTGTGACTTGGGGGCTTCTTGCGATGCTGCATTTTTCTCTTTATCATTTCGTCATAGACTCCAGAATGAGGATTTGATCTCTTAAAAATTCTTGCAACATTAGGAAATGTTTTCGGACAGCAAGTACCTAACTTCTGAAGTTCTGACTGTTGCACTAAAGGTGTATTTCCGAGTCAGACTTCAATCTAAGGCAAACTATCTTGAGGAATTCTGGAAATAAACTACAAAGGGCTGTCAGTTTTCTATAATAGGTACTTCACTCCGTTTATAAGTTCACTGTGAAGACGGAAGTATTTCACTTGCCACCTAAGAGTTTAAGAGTATCTTTAGATTTCGTAAGGGAAGTCTATTTAATAATGGATTTTTTTTGCCAAGAAAAGATACCTGAAGCTGCAGCAAGGATGACAGTTCTACTACTACAATGCAGTTGAGGTGGATGTGCATATTGAGTTGACTGACTTCACGCTATGTGATACTGCTGATGTTAGGAGGACTCAACTTTCTATACATCATCAGGTGTTGCCTTGCAACTCTTCAATGGGACTTCTGTGTCTGGAAAAATTGCCTTTGGCTCTTTTTCCAATTTCAAGCCTATTCAAGCTGATAACTTTTACTAAACTACGTGACAGGCAGTTACTCACGTTTTGGACTCCCTTAGTGGATTTGTTGAGAAATACCTTCATACTTGGTATCTGTATGGCAGCCACCTGCCACTTATCCCTTCATGTAGTGCTGTGTTATTGCAGGAGCATGCAAGAATGAGTCTGTTTGACAGAGCATATTGCTTGAGAAGGCTGAATCCTGGTTTAGATTAGACTTCCTTACTCTAAATGTATCTCTCTTGGTTATGTAATTAAGTTTTCCACTTTTTTAATGCAGTTTTCCACAATGAGTTTTTCAGTAATTTAATGCGTTTAAATTGATTTTGTATCACTTGGCTTTTGTACTGAGGAGATGATAGATTAACAGTTACAGTCATTGGGTTGTTAGGTTTTCTTATTTTCTAAGCTTACCCCTTTTCTGCTTTAGAGAAAGCTTTTTCTCTTTATAATCTGTTGCTGGTAACACATGCAGCTTTTCTGTCTCTAAGAAATTGTTATATTGTGTTGAGTGCTTTTGCACCTCAGTCCAACTCTTGTAAGTTATTTTTCTCTTACATGGAGTCTCATGTTTTCAATAGGTAGCTTTTTCATCATTGAATCTTCTACTGCATACAGAAGCGCTTATGTCTGCTGTCAGTTTTCTAACAGCTGTTAGTCCATCAGGCAATGACAGTAGTGGAGACACACCAACTAAAGACAAAAAGCAAGAAGATGACACTAGAATGAAGAAAGGTACGGTTTATCAAAATGATGGTTCTGAAAGGATGTGTTTGCATGCTGGCAAAACAATCAAATCCAGAGAAACCTGATTAGCTTTGTAGTATGGGGTGAAGATCAAAGCTCGTGTGACTGTAACTCACTAGGCTGGAGGACTGATTACAAAAAAACAATAAAAGAAACAATGATTATGATCATAAGTGGTGTCTTCAGGTGAGCTTTCTATTCTTGTGTTTCATTGCCACCTCACAAATAGTCTTGGATCTGAGTAAATGACATTTCTGTGAGCTTAGAGGACTTGAACAGCAGCGTGATCTTAGTGTTCATGGTAAAATAAAGGGGATAAATAGTACTTTGATTATGCTATGTTATTGGGCTAGAAAATTTAAGTACACTTTCAAAAACATAGTTCAGTCCTTTCCTAGCCTAGTGAACATCTTACTGTTTCTGTAGCACTGAAACAAAAAGTGAAATCATATGAGAATAGGCTCAGAGTGGAGCAGCTGCACTGTCTTTAATACTAAGTGCAAAACTCAAGCATCAGGTGAGCTGGAAATAAGGTGTCTAGTGAAGAATGTTCAGAATCACTTAAAATTTTAAATGACCTGGGTTTAAATCTGCAGGCTGAAAGAGAAGCTACTGCTGTGTACAGTTTAACAAAGCTCTTAAATGTTTGAGCTCTTGGATTAACAGTTTGCTGCGCTTGGTTAGCAAAGGTGCAGACCATCAGTGAGGTCTGATGGCTTCTGGTCTTCCCTCATAGATAGTTTTTGATGCTTGCGTGTGACTTAACGTTGTTTTCCCCAGTCTTAATGCTTGCTCTGATAAAACCTGGATGTTAGCTGCCTGAAATAAGCCTCCAAGGTTTGCTGTTCCTTACAAGCTTGAAGTTTAAGAGAAAACTTCCTACATTATGGTCTTGGAATAGGAAATATTAGATTACCTGATGAAAAGGCTACTGTGAACCTATTGAGGAGTCATCACGAGATGGGAGTAATATCATAAATAGAATTGCAAGCAAATGCGGACATGTTTTACTCATCAGTAGAGTTGCCTTCAGAGGAAGACTTGTTCCTCTAAGACAGGATGTTAATCTTGATAGTGGTGATGAAAGAAACTATAGGAAACAAAACTAAGTCATCTGAATGCCAAAAAAAAACCCCAGATCAAAACAACTCTCAAATACTATCAGAAGAAGTGAAAATATATATTTCATGTACCTTGAAAATCCCTTGCTCTCTTATTTCTAGTGGCTAGACCTTCCAAGGATAAGGATGTCTTTGACTTCAAGCTTTTTGCCAAGCTAGATGCCTTCTGTTTAAATATTTGTGATGAAAAAAAGAACATTGCAGAGATCAAGATACAAGGTATTAAATTCTTTGTTAGTAGTAACCGATCTAGTGGTTTAGTTTCAAAGCAACTGCTGATAATTGAACTGAAAGATATTTAAGGAGTAAATTTTCAGCATCTGACTTTTATTTATGTTATTGTTTGCACAACTGTGGCTTACAGTATTGTCTTCCAAGTCAGTCTTCTAATCTGTCATGATGTTTTGGCTTCCAGCTAGAAAAGCATGATATATTTTTCTTCAGGTGATTAAGTTCATGTTTTGAAGAATTTTGATTATGGGTGACTTCTCATGCTGCACAGAGCTTTGGATGTTTTTCTGCTGTATCTGATTTTTTTTTGGATAAAAACCCCACTTTAAAAATGTTTTCTTTAATTTTGAACTCTTAAAATTTGTTTGGTTTTCTTGTTTTGGTTTTGTTTTCTTGATTCTTTTTTTACCCCTCTGAGGGGCTATAATTGTGTGAGAGAGGGAGGGGTGGGGAGGGGAAGTTTCGCTTCCAAGTTCTATAGCTGTCAAAACTCTCTTAGTATGAATATTTAAGAGTGTATGGTATACAAGAATCTGTAATACAGTTAATAAAATGCCTCGTGCTTGTGCCCATCTCTAAATCATGTGATGTATTCACACAAGGTTTCGTATGCAAAAGTGTTGTATTCAAATACAGTGTAGTATCGTATTTTTTTGATAGAAAATCTCAGTATACTAACTCAGTAGCTTGGTTAAGAGACAGGTTATTGTTTGAATATTTTTCTATGAAGAGCAGCTAATTTCTTTCCAGGGATGATTGATATTGAGGCAGTACCCATATTGGAAATTTTTCTCTGTTTTGTTTAAAGCTGTAGTATGGTCACATTCTCAAAGCTTACTAACAGACAGCATAGTGTATAGACTTGGTTTTGAACTCTAGAAAATATACTTATCTTCTGTGCCTGACAGATAAAATGCAAAAAGTTTCTATTTCCAGAACTTACAGTACTTTTTTTTTTTTATTTAGGAGAAGTTATAGTAGTTGGGGAATTACATCTAATTCTGATTTGGATACAAGGAGACTAAAATGCTTTGAATCAAACAGAGCTCTTTTATTTACAGTCCCTTCAGCAAGGGATGTGGTAACTGACTTTTTTCTTTAGAAAACAGAGGAGAGAATCAAGTGTGTTTAGATATTTTTTGTGGTTTTTTTTTTTTTTTTAAATCTTCTGAACTTGGAAAACTTTTAACAAAATAATTTTGTTGCAATGTGTAATTTCTGTAACTTTTCTCTTGCCCCATACTGATGTCTTGTGTCCCCACCCTGACAATGCTTGTTACTTCTGTTATGCTGTACTATGCTTTGTTTCTTTTTACTTTACAGGTCTTGACTCATCACTTCTCCTTCAGCCAAGTCACACTGAATTCTTTGCCCGACTTAAAGACATAGTTGTCACAGATGTTGATTCAAGGACCCTTCATAAAAAAGTACTCAACTGCAAGATTTTGTTTTTCTTGTTTCTTGGTTACTTTTGTGTGTGTAAAAGTGAAATGTAATACATGTTCTTATTCCACTCTCTTAAAAATACTTGTCACGAATACCTCTTTTCAAATGAGGTAAAAGCATATGCTATGATAAAGCATAGTTTTCATATTAGAAGAAAGGATGTCCAAAAAGATTTTTTTTTAAAGAAAATAATGAAAAAATCTAACTTGTACATCTGGTAGGCTGGCTATATATTTAATTCTTATTTGTGTTAAGTACCTTTTTAGAAGCTGCTGATAGCTGTGGGTACTGTTTCTCTCTTTTCTAGGCTGTGTCTATAGTAGGAGATGAAGTTTTCAGTTTCAATCTGATGTTAGATCCATGTGCTACTGAAGGAGAAGCCTACACTGACATGTCAAAAGTGGATGGTACTGTGTCTTTGAAAGTGGGCTGTATTCAAATAGTGTACCTTCACAAGTTTCTCATGTCTCTCCTGGTAAGTCTTTTTTTCCTTGGTGTGTTTCTGTTGCGTTCTCAAATTAGTCTTCCTTGTTTGTGTCCTCACTACAAGTGGTAACCTAGGTTTCTGAAAGAGAAAGGATAGGCTTAATTTTTTGTGCGTGCTATTAGAAAACTTGAAGTAAGCTTTAACTGGTTTGAATTTCACAAATCTGACATAGTAGGAGTGAGGGGTCACATCCTACCCGCTGCTTTGGAAATGGATAAAAGCTGTGTGCTATTAAGGTGTTTTGGAGGTTTTGAGTTCACTGCCCTTTCCGTCTTGGTAAAAACCTGAGTTCATTGCAAACATCTGAGCTAACATTAGAGACAAGACTTTCTGCAAGGTTAGATGCTGTGAGGACACAAGTTAATCACTGTACATATTTATGCCTTTATCAAGTATCCTAGTGTTGGTGGATAGTGGGCTTTCTAACATTCGGTACTGACTTAAATAGGCGTTAGCATTCACTGAAGGCAAAGAGGAGCTCTAAAAATACATGTCCTCAGAAGCTAATGAAGTAAAGCAATCTTGTAGCTAGTGAAGAAAGGGAAATGTAGAGATGGGTTTAAAATGAGTGCATTGTACTGGTTAGTACATTTTTGATCCTCTATTAGATGTCATGACAGAAAGCACTCAGTTGTCTTTCCCCAGTGAAAACTTAACACAGTAGGCAGCATGATCAGTGGTGGTTGTTGGTTGTAATTGATGTAAAATGAGAGTAATTTAGATGAAAAATCTTTTTACATAAATTTCTCCTTTCTTTTCAACTGCTTATTCTAGACCTTCTTGAACAACTTTCAGACAGCTAAGGAGGCACTGAGTGCTGCTACAGTCCAAGCTGCAGAAAAGGCTGCTACCAGTGTAAAAGACCTGGCTCAAAGGAGTTTTCGACTTGCAATGGACATCCACTTGAAAGCACCAGTTATAGTCATTCCTCAGTCCTCAGTTTCCCCTAACGCTATAGTAGTAGATCTCGGCTTGATTAAAGTTCAAAACCAGTTTAGCTTGGTGTCTGCAGAAAGCAGTTTGCTCCCTCCAGTCATTGACAAAATGGATGTGCAGCTGACAAAGCTGAAACTGTCTAGGTAAGTAACTGTCTTACTTCAACAAGTAATGCCTTAGCTAATTGGTAATAATAATAGTCTATAGGATATTAATTTACTTGCTTGGAAACCACAGTTGATGACAGTTTCAAATATTTGGTGTTTAAATACTGAGTTGTTACCTGAAGAGCAAATAAATCAGTAGTAAAATAAGATACGCTTCTGCTCAGGAAACTGTTTAAGCCTGAAGAGTTACTACTTGTGAGATTTTGAGATGTTACTTGGAGAACGTAGCATATGACTTAACTTCTAACTTCCCCACCTTGTGTTTGTGTTTCTGCCACACACCCTGCCCCCTTTGCTTAAAGGACCACTATGGAGACAGGTTTGTCGCATCCAGACATTCAGATACTTCAGCCTATTAATTTAAGCCTGTCTGTGAAACGAAATCTGTCTGCAGCGTGGTTTCACAAATTACCAGTGTTGGAGATGACGGGATGTCTGGATACAATGAATGTAAGTCTTAGGAAAAAAAGCCAGTGAGAAGTTGGTGATAATGCTTAGTGTAAGACTGACCTTTATGTTATTTCTGGATACAAAGGTGCAACAAAGCTGCAAATTTTTAGTAGCTGTGGAGTGAGTTTCAGGAATGTCAACAGGGTTTAACCTACCTGTGTGGATGTAGAAGTTTAAAAGTGTCATATAAAACACCTGAACTGCTGTGTACATTTATTAAACTGAGAGAAAGAAAAGAGAAAACTGAAAGTGATGTCAAGGAGACTTGTTTATTCCCTGCCGTAAGGCAGGACCACCTTAAATCAAATGTTTTCGTGACCAGTTTTGTGAGTGAGTCTATTCTCAGTGCCTTTTTTTTTTAAAAACAAAACAAAAACCACAGAGTAGTCTTGAGAGGAATTTAAGTTTATGCAAATATTTGCCTTAATAACTCCAGCTTCGTAACTTCCTATCTTCCTTGAATGACCTTCAGATAGTTGTTTTCTGTGACCATTTATATATTGTGAAAGAAAATACCATGTACATCTTGAGTGCAACTGGAATTAAAGTTTGAAGTAGCATGTCAGTTATAGGAAAGTGTTAAAAGCATAGGTACACTAAATAAAGGCTACAATATGTATTGATACAGCTTTAGAAGTCATAACCTTCTTGAATCTCCTAATCTTTTATCAATAAGCAGTTAAAAGAATTTTACTGTGTGATTTAAAGGATGATGTGGCTGCCAAAATACCTGTAAAGAAGCACTCTTCTTGCCAGGAAATGTTTTTCTGCTTTGCTGGCTAGTGATAAGTTTAAAGAACAATGTTTTTTTCCTGAGAACTATCATCTGTAATTATGTAGGTTGTGTTAAGTCAAGAGGATTTGAATGTCTTTCTCAAAGTGTTGATGGAAAACCTTGGTGAAGCAGAAGAAAACCAAACTCATACAAAATCAGTACTGCAAAAGGAAGGTCAGAAATGGAATTTTTTTGTCATGAATATTAAGTGTGTTAGCTTTCTGGTATAAAAGCATTTATTATCTGGAAAGCAAGCTTAGGTATGAGAGTATGATGTGTAAGTGATAAACTTTTTAATGTTGCAAGGATAATGTTCATACTTTAATACTTGAAAAAAGTGGAAACATTACAAGACAAAATTTGGTTATTAATTTAGCTAAATTGTCATGAAACAACATGAAACAAAGCAAGGTATTGGGATGTCAGAGTAGTCTTGTTGCTGGAAGATATTTCCATTTTCTTTTCCTCCTCTGAAGTTAAGGGCTCTGCTTATGGAAATGTTTCTACCTTATCTTAGCCATCTAAATGAATAAAAGAATTGGATATTTCTTGAGCTAAACAAATGGTGGCAATCTCAAAAGTTAACCAATTTATTGAATGCTTCAGGTAAAACCAAAGAAATGGAGAAATCAATTTTGACACAGGATAAGAGTGTTCCAGAAGGAATACTGCCTGAAAAGAGAAAAAGAACAGTAAATGAAGATGTAATCAATATGCTACTTAATTTTGAAATCAGAGAGGTATGTGTCCTTCTGTAAAATTTCTTGTTATTCAATCCAGTACGCAAGTCTGTGTCTTAGATGTAGTGGACTATGTAGTCCATTTTAACTGTTTAAAGAAGATGGTACATACCAACAAAAAGAAAATAAACAAAAACCCCCAGAACCCAGATTCTTCAGCTGTTTTATTTTGTCTGTGTTATGTGAGATGGTATTTATATAGAGAGTATTTAACAGACACAATATATCTAACAGGGAAAAGCGGGCTTCTTTCAGATGTTCTGCACTCACCTAGCTTTAATCTTTCATAATGTTGCATATGATTCTCCTTGTGAAAAAAAAAAAAAAAAAACAGCTAAAATAGTTAAGCTAGAACTTGTATTTTGCCTTAGAGATAGTAAGTCTGAAGGTTAGGTTGTAGATTAAGTACTGAGAAAATGCACGATCAGGCAGTGAACAAATATACCTACTAAGAAATTATCCAAGCATGTTTTTCCTCTGAAGATATGTGGAATACTTAAATGTGAAGAGCTCAGCATGGCCTTGCATTTTTTCAGGAGTCAGACCAAATGGCTTAGGTATGCGGGTTACTTCAACTGTGGAGTTAGTTGGCTTTGTGGGGTTTTTTTTGGGGTGTGTAATTTTCATTTTGCTAACTCTCTGTGGATGTTCTTGTCCAATATGAAATCTGGGTTCCTGTTTTTCAGACAGAATAAAAAAGCCTGCCTTCAAACCTGAAACTATTCTGTTGCTGAGTGAGAGTTGCATTCAAAGACTAGTAACTTTCTCCTATCCCCAGCCACCAGGGACTGTCGTAAGAAAACTTAGTTGTGGGGGCGTTAGAAATATTTGTCCCACAGCTGAAGTGTAGACAGGTAGCAAGTTGACACTGTTCCAGGTTTTGGGTTTTCTCAGTTTTTGCAGAATTACAGTTAAAATTGTCTGAGGAGATACTCATCAACAAACAGCGTGTAGTTATCCATCACAGATCACTAATACCTTTGGTAGCTTTTAACTTCCAGATTTGCTGTCTTAGCTGTGAATAGTTTTGGTTTTTTTTAATGGAAAGATTGAGGCAGATTACAGGCTAGCCTGTGGTGTTCCATGGTGTCTTATTTAATATATCTTACGAACAATTCTGTCTTGTTTAATATGGTTTTACACACATTTCCCATGGAAATGTTTATCAAGGTAGTGTCTACATTGTCTGTGGACTGTATATCTTGGGTGATAAATGATAAAATGCTCATTTTGTACTTTTTGTACAAAAAGTATGCCACACAATGATGCAGACAAAGTATTGACAAACTAGAATTCTTTAAATTCCTTCTGTGGTAAATTGTTAGGTTGAGACACTATTTTTAGTTCTCGAGAAAAGAAGATAGTTGCCTCATGAAATAATTGCATTGAAATTAACATTGTTTGTTAATAACTGTATCTAGTTCTTCTACTTGAATTTTCAGCTACACTTAGAAAAACATATTTTTTTCTTATTTTCAACATTCTAATCAGCGTAATGCTTAATCTTCTGTAGAAGAATGGTGATATTGAAAGATTTCTATGTCCTTAATTATTATTTGCATAGCATCAGGTATTCAAATATTGATTCACGTTGCTATCTGTTCTCTACTGCCCTTCCTTCCAGACCAGTATGATTTGTAGTAACTGTTATTTCTGTATCCAGACTCTGTATGTAGCACTATATAGTGTCTGGTTACAAAACTGAAGCATAGCTTGACAAAGTAAAGATATACTGCTAGGCCAACAAAATGAAATTCTAGTCAGATGAATAGATTTGGGGTTTTTATTTGGTTGTTGAAGGATTTAACAAGTGATGGGTTGCTTGGCCAAGAAGAACAGAATGGGGAGAGTGGAAAAATCTTTAACAAACTGATGTTGTAGGTTGTCTTTGTAGAAAGGCAGTGTCTATATTACTATCACTTTTGAGGTTTCGCTGAGGAGATAATGCTCAGTTATAACTGCAGGCCATAATATCTGGACAGCTTTACAGAAATACTGAACTTATTTCTCTTTCCATATTCAAGGTTGTAGTAACCTTAATGAAGCAGGTGGAGAAGGAGAGATATCCATTACATATTCTAACTGTACTACAGCTGGGAACCGAAACCAAAATTAGAAATCATGAATTGACTGCAGCAGCATATCTGAAAAAGATTATAATGAGATGCATTGAAATAAATGGTAAGTCTTCTAGAAAACTGGTATGCAGTCAGTATAGTGTGTGCAATCAGCCTTTGTAGCATGGTGAAAAAAATCCTTAGCGGGGGGTATGGGGAGGGCAGGATTCAATCACTTCATTACGCTGTCCTGTGTGATTTAGATTGTTAGTCTGCTTTACCTGATACCAAATTTTACTCCTGTTGCTGGAGTTAGCTTGAATTAATTTGACTTAATTGCCTACTTTGAGTAGGAATGGTAATTCCTAAGAGGTATTCTATCTGTTCAGAGTGTTTTGATGAGCTCTGAATCTGTGTTTTATGACCAGTTTTGGCAGCACGGGAAATCCAGCATGCTTCCTTAGTCAGTCAGGTAACAATTCACAGTGATATTGAAGTAAAAACCGAAACAGCCATTTATTGAAAGTAGAAAAGTATGGTTTTGAATATCAAAACCTGAAAATAGGAATGCAAAACTAATTATAGGAATGCAAATAACTTCTCAACTTAGAATCTTTTTTGAGGACCAAGATAAGTTAATTTTGACTAGTTTAATTAAAAAAAAAAGTGAAACCAGCATTTCACAAGATAATGTTTAATCTGCAGCTTTTCAATGAAAAGGGATGCGTACCTTCTCTATTTCAGGAAGTATAGTATATAATTGAGAATGAGCATAGAAGCATTCCATAGTTGGGAGTAAGCTTGTGAGTGGAAATACTTTACCGTTTTACTTCTTTATTTGCAGACTCAAAAGGAGATCCTCTTTGCATTATTAATTCTTCAAGTGAGACAGATGAACATCTTCTGAAAATGGAATACATTAAGGTTTCAATATCTTTTAGCTGAGATTATATGGGGAGTAAAATAAGGCTTCTGTATTTAGCCTGGGTTAGATTTTTTTTTTACTTGTTTTAAAACTTACAGGATTTGTGTCTGAAATGTACCTAGGTCTTTTCCCAAACAGCTGTTTTCCAATTTACCACTTCATTTCACTTTTCATTGTTTCCATACAGTGCTTGCTTCATAAGTCAACACAATTACTGAAACACTGGTGAAGCCAAACATTTATATTCATAGATTCATTCATAGATTGATAGATTTCTAGGTTGGAAAAGACCTTAAAGATCATCGAGTCCAACCATCCCTAATCCCCATTAAACCATATTCTCAAGTAGATCATCCACCCTCTTCTTAAACACATCCAGGGATGGGGACTCAACCACCTCCCTGGGCAGCCTATACTCATTCTTCTCTGAACAATGCAAATTAGTATCATTGTGAAACTTAATAGGTGAGATAGTCTTTGCCTATATAAGGGATAAGTGGCTCTCTACAGGTGGTAAAACTAGCATTTGACAAGTGATACATTGGTAGCTAGAGTTTGTGAGCTTAAAAAAAAAGTCATCAGCCTTCACAAACTGCATGAATGCTTGAGAATCTGGTAGGTTGTAGAACCAGTGGGCTACTCATACTCTTACCTATAATGACATAATCTTAATAGAGAAAAACAAGTTAATTTGTTCTGACAAAGTACTAAGCATAAATGGATCCAGTTTAAATAAATACTAGGTAAGAGAAAATTTTCTAACTGGCCAGTTGAACTTTCACAAAATATGTACTATAAAATATCACTGAGCAGAGTGTTGTGAGCACTCATTCTGGTTGCCTTGATTGTGTGCTTTATTTAGAGAACTTGTTTCTTCAGGCTTCATCACTTTCCTTTGTGTTCTTTTGCAATGGGAATAATCCTTCTGTGAGTGTGTGGTTAATTCAGTTAATGAATTCGATTAATTCAATAGAAACTGACTGTATGCTTGGGCTTTTTTTCTTCCTTTAGGCTGATGCTGATGGACCAGATTTTGTTACTACTTACAGAAGCACCAAGCAAAACATCAATGTAAGTACTGGATGTATTTAGGATTTTTAAGCTTCTTAAATAGTAACAGCTGTGTAAACTCATTAATTGCCCAAATTTTCTCCTATCATTGAAGAGAAAAAGAAGAGAAGAGAAGATCTCTCATTGAAGAGATCTTGTGTAAACAAGCAAGGCACTTTTTTTCTCGATTCTATGAGAACAGCTGAGTAGTTATGCTATAGAATGCTACTAAATAACAATGTCGCTTTGTCTCCTTGCCCTTGTTTTAGGTCATCTTTTCATGTTTGGATATAGTACTTCACACAGAGGCTTTGCTTTCCATCATGAGTTTTCTCACATTCAGTGTTCCATCAGGTGGTCTTCCTGCTACTGATAAAGCATCAGACCACAAACCTCAAATAAAAGAAAAAGAAAAAGGAAGTACTCTTAGACCAGGTAATGTGGTATTAGAGAGGCCATACTTTTATTGCTTAGTATCATCTAGCCTTTGTTTTCAAAGGATATCATTACAGGTGACGGCATTGCAGTCTATTTGGTGGAAAAACAAGGTATGCACAACTGTACATAGAGAGATAACAATCTTATTTTTTGAAAAAAAGAGATAATTTTGCTGTTGCTTAATTTTACAAATTGTCCTTATTCAATATAAGTTTTTTCCTAGGTAGTGGTCTGGCTTTTTTATTAAAGGAGTTGAATAAACCATGTTTCAGTGAAAAATGTCAAAGCCTTTCCAAAGCATCTGTGTCATGACTTTATTACTTTCCAGTCTGAAGAGTCTAAAGAGTGGTTATATTGCTGAAAATAAACGTTCTTGAGGTCTGCAGAAGCCAACAGAAGTTCTGAACTGAAGGATGTTGTACTTATTATAATAATTGGTATCTGTAACCTTGAAATGATACGAATTTTTCTATGGTAGCTCTTTAAGAATGTTTCATCAGGTCCTGTGTGGTTGATTATTGTGTTGGTAGTGTTGTTTGGGAAAGTCAAGGTTTTCTAATCCTAAATCTGTTGGGATTGAGTTTACAGTGGCTGGCTGTTACATTTTGTATTCTGCAGAGACCTTCAACTTTGCTGCAGAAACTTTTTTCACCTAGTGTGCCTAAATTGGCCTTGCTACTCTATACAGAGAGGAACATTTCTCATGTGAGATAGTGTTTCAAATAATGATATGTACACTGTACTCTGCATACTGTTGCATGTAAACGAGATATTAATGAGGAGAAAAAACATTTTGTTTGCTGTTTGCCTGTGTTAGTCAGTGGCTGTTCTTGTGCCATAAGAAAACTGTTGTATTAAAAGACTTATTTTGTGTCTTGACTAATAATTAGCAGTAACTTTTAGGCAGTAACCACAACTTGCTCTTTGAATAGTTCATATGTTTACAAAACAAATAATTTAAAATTTGTTTTAAAAAATTGACTTGATGAAGTTCTTCTATGTCTTGTTTCCTATCCAGTGTCTAGTAATGCGGCCCATGATGATATCTGTGAATTAAGACTCACTGCAAAGCTAAATGCATTCGGTATTACAGTGTGTGATCAGACCTGTAGCATCGCAGATATCAGAATACAAGGTAAGGGGATTTGATTTATATATTAGATTAGTTGGTTGTAGCAAGAAATACTGTCACTCTCCATTCATTCACTTCTGAAAGGCTACTGTGTGCACTATAGATGTCTGTAACATGTAGTTGAATATATTTTGATTGTATGATATGATATGTTTGCAGTTAAGTATTTTAATAGCCAAAATGCCTGTAGGGGAAGAAAATGTTAGACTTTGAAAAAGAAGGCAATTAATTTCAAAGTGGAGTAAAACTAAAAGCAAGGAAGGCACCATGTTATTAAATAGCACAAGCTTCCATTTTTTAATAGCTAGATCCTAGATAGTGCTGGAAATTTTTACTCTAGTCTTAGAGTCAATTTATGTTTGCAAATTTGTCATGTATAGTAAGGTCACAACTTCTGATTCTAAGCTGTTCTTAGCCTTTATAATCAATGGTAAGTAATGCTTCTTTTCTAATAAATGTTGACTTAATAAATGCACTTGAAAAAATTCTTGTCTTCTTCCTTTTGTCTCAAATCAGGAATGGATGCATCTGTAGCTATGAAAACTAAAAAGATAAAAGTGTTCTCCAGACTTGAAGACATTGTAATTACCAACGTTGATCCGAAAACAATCCATAAAAAGGTGATGTGTTCTGCAGATTGTAAACAAACAAAAAACTTAAAGATCTAAGTTATTTAATGACAGCTCTATATTTGATTTCGTGTGTTATATAATACTAAGAATGATGTAAAGTACCAAATATGAAGCAAAATGTTATTGGTTAGTTTCCTTTATCTTGGATGTAAAATATGCTTCCATTCGATATTATTTTTCATCATGTTTGTATTGATGTGTTTAATTCTGAGTAGCATGGGTTAAATATAAAATGGACTGTAGGTAACACAGTGAGAAGAGACATACCATGAAAGAGCTGATGTGATTTCCTTTTGTGCCTAGCATATGTGTGTTCAAGTATTGCTGATAAGTTGCAGCTGATCTTTTTGTGGAAATATTTCTTGTTTCTTAACTTAAGCAAGAATTCTGTCACAGATTGCTGCCTGGGAGTATTAACTGCATGGACTTAATCTTCTAGGCTGTCTCCATAATGGGAGATGAAGTGTTTAGATTTCACATGTCACTTTATCCAGATGCTACTGCAGGGGAAGCCTACGTTGATATGTCAAGAGTGGATGGTAAAATGTCTCTGAAAGTGGGCTGCATCCAAATAATTTACCTACATAAATTCTTTATGTCTCTCTTGGTAAGACATCAGTTTCAGTTCTTTTCTTGACATTAGAAGTTTTTTAAAAATATAAAATATAATCAGCTCTTTGTGACCTGTACCTTGTGGTGAGTTGATGTACAAACATGTAGAAGTATTTTGCTGAAGAAGTCACTTAAATAGCACTGATAGATAGAAGAATGGCAAATAAGGGGAAGGATGACAAAACAATGAATGGAGTTGATTGCTTACCTATTTAATTTTTAAGATATTATTAAAGCTGCATCTTAGCTTGTGCATGATTTCAACCTTTTTTTCTTTTGTAATTTGTATGGTTAAATTAGAAGTTTCATATCTCTGCCACAGCTGTACTGTTTTTCTTAAATTTACGTTTTGCCTGAGGCTTGCCTTTTTTGGTAGGCTCATAGAACTCTTATTTTTTTCACTACCTATCAATAGGGCTTCCTAAACAATTTCCAAACAGCACAAGAAGCCCTGACTGCAGTCACTGTCCAGGCAGCAGAAATGGCTGCTTCTAGCATGAAAGACTTTGCTAAAAAGAGCTTCCGCCTCTTAATGGATGTCAACTTGAAAGCTCCAGTTATAGTTATTCCTGAATCTTCAACTTCATATAATGCTTTGGTCGCTGATCTTGGCTTAATCAGAGTTCAGAATGAATTCAAGCTGGTGTCTTCAGATGAGTCTTCTCTTCCTCCAGTCATTGACAACATGGATGTGCAGCTAACTCATTTGAAGTTATCAAGGTATGCATGGAGTCTTCTTCTGAGTTGAAAAGTGTTTGTAAAGAAAACGGATCCATGTTCCTTATGCAGCATTATTGTATTATTTAAAGATGATAAGTGATGAATAGATACTAAACTGAAACAACACCTCCCACACACCCCCAGACTAAGTTTAGGAGTGCTTTTAGAGAAGGACAAGGGTCCATAATTCTCTAAACCTTCTTGGAAAGAAAGGAATGATAGGACAGTAACTGAGTTCATCCTAAGTGCATACCTGGGCATATGTGCATGTAAGCACACATGATTATTAAAAATAAGGATACTCATAATTCTGCTAGATGAGTATGATATTTGGGATTCTGCAACTACTAAATGTTTTTTCTCTGCTGTTTCCACTGTCTTCTGTAGGTGCATAATATCCACAGATTCTCAACCAGATTCTGAAATTCTGCGTCCTGTGAGTTTGACTTTACTGGTCCAGAGAAATCTAGCAGCAACTTGGTATCATAAGACACCAACAATTGCTATCAAAGGAGACCTAAAACCAATGCAGGTAATATCATAGCAAATCAGAGCTACATCAAAAGTTACATATATTCTCAGAAATAGCACTTAGCCTGGTTAAAGAGCTTGTAAACTCGTTGGAATTTGTATTCTTTACAGAATGTTAAAAGACTTACAGCTTGACTGTTCAGTTCATAGATCAGTTACAATTTTGATACTATATAATGAACAATTTTGGTGTAGCTGCATACAAATGAATTAAAACCTATTTTGATTTTTCTGAAGGTCTGTTGGGGATATTCTTTGACTCAACAGTCAGTAAAGTCATTGAGGTTATCTGATGAGTTAGCATTTAAAATCTAGAGTTAAGATTGTAAATTGTTTGATCTGTAATATTCAGGTTAATTGACCATTTAGTAGATTTATTAGAAATTACGAGGGTAGATGTGGATCTCTAGTATACAACAGTTCAAAATTATGGTTGATAAATCAACAGAGGGAGGGCTTTACTTTCTTTTTTCCTATATTAACCATTTGGATTTAAGTGGGTAGAAACTGACTGGTGAGACTAGTAGTTATACATGAGCCCTGTTTCATTCCTGTGTATGTGCTGTGGCCAAATGTAGCACTGGTGAACCATGGAGGAGTAAGATACTGGAGGAGTACCAGTAAAAAAAATTAAATGTAGAAAAAAATGCTCTAGTGCTATGTGTTGTGGACTAAGTGACTGCATTTTTTAACTTATTACTGCTTATTTCTTTTCATGATCATTTTATGTTAGAATTGGAATTCAAATTCATTAACTCTTTAAAGGCTGCTTTAGTGTATGCAATGTTAATCTTGGCTTTAATGTTATCTGGTTATGTTTCTGGATTACTGAATTGTTAAGAAATTCTTATGATCATCAATTTCTCGTATTTTAGCTGGCAAAGAGCCTTTACAAGACTAGAAACTGTTTATGATGCGGAGTGTTAGTTCTTGTTGTAACTCCTGTTCATAAAAAGTAACAAATGGTATTTTAGGAAAAATGGGCAAATTATTTAGTGTTTTGCCCAGGATCATTTTGACTAGACAGCTTGTTTGTGGTGGAAGCAGCATGTTGTTTCTTCTCAACATTTGCTTGCTATTCATAAAAATAGGACTCTCTGTTGGAAAGAAATACTGTCACCAAAAATGAAGCTGTGGGTTTATCACTTCACAGATTGCACTCAGTGAAGATGATCTAACTGTTGTCATGAAAATCTTACTTGAGAACCTTGGAGGGGCTTCTTCACAGCCAAATACTGTGCAAGAGAACGTTGAAGATAGACAGATACTTAAAAAAGGGAAAGTTCCAAATGAGTCTGACTTCTGTGAGGGTATGTTCAATTCAAAAGCTGAATATATTTAGGCAGTGGACTATTTGCAGATTTAAACATTGCATTTATCTGAAGCACTTAAACATGTGTAAATAAATTCTTTTTATTAATTGTTACATATGTGTTGTGTAAATGAAAAGTTACAGATAAGAAGGTATGCACGTACATGGAGTGTGAGCTGTTTATGGTCAAAAGTTTTTGTAGTGTGTATTTTGCAATTTGTCTTTTGTCGGATAGTGTTCTTTAGTCTGTATCAATGACTTTTACAAGTTGCAGGTGATTTTAAAAAAGAAAAAAGCCAAAGCAATTACCTCGGAATGTTCCTGCAAAATTACAACAGTCAAGGATATTATTAGTAGTCAAATAGTGTGGTAATGTAAACAGTATATGTCTCTGAATGGAATATTGTCAGTGCTTTGGCAAAAGCTTTTTTTTTTGTCCAAAACTTGACATTCTCAATGTCAAAAAAATTACTGTTCAATCAATAGGTAAAGTGGTCTACATTGAGAAGAAACTGGAAGGAAGAGTAGTGCAAACTCGTTGAGAAGTCTTGGTACTTTCTGGAGTTCTTCATTAAAATGAGTTAAGAACTGCAGTAAATTAATGACAGCTTTTTTTAAGGTTATTAAACCACTCTGTGCTAGGTAACTTTAGCATGCACTGCATAGAACCACGTGATACTGAGTAAATGAAAGTGCAAATTGTTCTCAGTAGTCTTCCAAATTTAGAGCTTTTTCCTCTTTTTATGACTTTGTGATCTTAATTTAAAAACAAAAACAAAACACAAATAACACAAAAAGCCAACATCAACCCAGAAAACCACTCCCAAGCCCAGTGTTCTAAAGAAATGTGAAAATATTTTATTTTCGCTGACAGGTCCTCTTCTTGCTTTTGGACAAAAAGATGTTTCTACACTTCAGTCTTCTGCGGAATGTTATACAACACTTAAATTTGACTTCAATTTTGAGTCACTTTCAGTAACTCTCTACAATAGTGAAATGAATCAGGTTTGTGACAAAGCTTTTACCATACAGATGGGGTGGGGAACTTGGGCTTCTCACATGGACAGAACTCAGGGTAGCAAAACAAAGAGTTTAGTCAGTTGTATTGGCTTTGTAATGCTTGCCCTGACAGAGCTTATGCAATTTATGCTGGATCTTTGGGGTTTTATGGGCAGACAATATTCTTAATTTGAAGGACATAAGTGCATTTCTAAAAATCATGCTAAAAAAGGGTAAGTAAACCAACCAACCAAAACCACTTGCCATTTGATTTGGTCGTTCCGGCCTTGATTGCAGTTATCTAAAATAAAAAGGAAAATTGGAAAAGCAGGAATTGCTAGCGTAGGTGATGCTAGCTATATGCATGGTGCCTATAGAGTTAATAAGCAGATCCAAGGTGTACATGGGCCCGCGCTTCTCTCTTACATATCCCTGAGGGTAAGCAATAACAAACATCCTTCCTGGGCTGAAAACAGAAGATAAAGATTTGCAGTGTTGCCTTGGTTTTATGACTTTGTGCTTTGTCCAGATGTGAAGGTGCTTGCTTTTTAAGTCTTGGTATATAGTGAACATGTGGTAGGTATGCATTTAAAATAACTATAATGCAGGAATTTGTGGTGCTTTTTGTATGAGGGTTGTATAACTTGAAAAAGTTTTTGAGAAGTATGAGCATCACAGGGAAGAAAGGCACTGCAATGGGATTTTATTTTAATTCTTCATATCCTTTCCACTTATTGCTGAGATCATGGTTGTAAATGAATTAGTGTGGTGGGAGCAGAGGGATCCTCTGGTAGGAGATGAAAAGTTCAAACGTATTATCCTTTGGTCACACATTCTGAACAGTTGCTGGCAGTGTGGTGAAGAAAACTTTACTGCAACCCAACTTGTTTTTTCTGTTTTTTTTCAGTGAGTTTCTTGGACTAATTTGTATGATTGGAGGACTGATAACACAACAGGCTAATCAGATCCTTCAGTTCATGAAATAAAATGCATGTGGTTAGCAGCAAGGGAAATGTGCTCATTACTTTGTTCTATGATAACTAGTCCTACTATTTCTCGTTATGTAGAAGTCTCTGCTTTCGCTGCATAGTGACAAATTACGCCTTGGTGAACTCCGACTGCATCTCATGGCATCATCGGGGAAGATGTTCTCAGATGGCTCAATGGATATTAATGTTAAACTCAAGGCATGTACCCTGGATGATCTCAGAGAAGGAATTCAGAATGTGACTGCAAGGTAAGTTTGAGTGCATCAGAAATTCAAGAACTCCATGCAACTTGTGAGGAAGACTGTTTCCTTGTTCTATGCTTTGCTTCGCATGGGACTGATAAAACTTTGGTAGGGCTGTTTGTTGTCTGTCATATTGTGCACTAACACAGTGAATCATGTAATTTTAATCATATTATGCAAGTTGATTCTTTCGCATATTGATTTCTCAGATCATCCAGAAGAAACAAAAAAAAGCCCTGGGAGGCTTGAGTACTACAGTAAACTGTGTAGAACAACTGAGTAGAGTGCAACTAGTCTCAGCCTGGAGAGTTTTATGCACTGAAACTTCAGTCTGATCGTTATACACCGCATGCCTAGTTCCATAACTGTAGCACACGCATTTTAAGTTGAAATTACTCTTCTGTTAGAGAAGTTTATACCCTCTTATTTCTGGAGGAAATACCGACTGCTTATGTTGTAATTCTTATTTATAAAAGGCACGAGGATGAAAAATAACACTACTTACACAGCTTCGTTTCTCTAGATCTGTGTGTTATGATGCTTGAAATATTTCTTATTAAACTTGTTTTCCAGAATGATAGACAAGAAAAATGACAGCAATGACAGTTCTATGATAGATATAAGCTACAAGCAGGATAAAAACGGAACGGAAGTTGTTTCTATACTTGACAAGCTGTATGTATGTGCCAGTATGGAGTTTTTGTTGACAGTAGCAGACTTTTTCATTAACTCAATGCCAGCATCCTCAACTGAAAGATCTGCACAGTTCCAATTAAAGCATGTTGCTCCTGGGAAATCCAAGCCAGAAACAGGTCTGTAAAACTGATTTCCCACCCCAGATTCCTTCCTTTACAGACTTCATACTGAAAATAAATGATCCAAAAGCTTCCAAGATGCTATGTCTTGCTATTCGAATCAAGAAATGAGTTTTTTCTTCAGTGTATGAATTGGCCACTGATACCATAGATTGTTGTGACCAGTAGTAGTTCTAAAACTGCTGTGTTAACTAGTGCAGTTGTGCTGTCCAGTTGAGCTAAATATTGGAAATCACTCATGCTGAACAGGATTTTTACCTATGTAATATCGCAAAGGAAGCATCCTTAGGGTAAAAAGTGTCATGTAATTGGTAATTAAGGAAGTAAAAACAACAACTTATTTAAAGATGAGTGGCGAAGAATGCCTTACCCTTACTTTGGCAAGTTGCATATTTTGAAACTGTAGGTGGTTATTTCAGTTCAGTTGTAGAAAATTAATTTTTGGTGAACAGTTTTCCTCATTTTGATTGAAGACTGAAGGTAAAGCATAGATTCATAGATTTCTAGGTTGGAAAAGACCTTAAAGATCATCGAGTCCAACCATCCCTAATCCCCATTAAACCATATCCTCAAGTAGATCATCCACCCTATTCTTAAACACATCCAGGGATGGGGACTCAACCACCTCCCTGGGCAGCCTATTCCAGTGGCTGACAACCCTTTCAGAGAAGAAATACTTTCTAACATCCAACCTGAATCTCCCCTGACTAAGCTTATGCCCATTTCCTCTTGTCCTATCACCCATCACTAATGTAAAGAGCCCTTCCCCCCCCTCTCCACCATCTTTTCTCAAGTATTTATAGGCTGTAATCAGGTCTCCCCTCAGCCTCCTCTTCTCCAGGCTAAACAGCCCCAACTCCCTCAGCCGCTCCTCCATGATGAAACAAGGGTGAGACGAAGCACTTCTGAGGGTTTTTGTTAGGTTTTAAGTGGTTGCTAGCCTTACCTGAGTTGTGGTCAGACCTTGTTATCTAGCTGGTTCCCAACAGCCCTCCCTTTCTTTTGGGGAACTTGATAGAGTGCTAGGAGTGAGCCTTAGGTTTTATGAACTGCCCTAGTGATGTCAGCAGTTCACTTCCTCTCCTCTTCCCTTGTTGGAGATGTCGTGTGACGAGGGAGGGATGGTGCTCACTACAGAAAAATGGCACTTGCAGGGGCTGCTCAGGACTACCAAAATCTTGCTGGCTGCAACGCATGATGTGTAGGTTTCTTTGTTTTTGCTGTAGTGCACTGAGCCTCAACTTGGCACCTGTTCCATTGCATAGGTGTGACATTCCAATGTTTCCAGTAAGTGTTAGGCATGAGTAACCCATATGATAAGTCTTAGTGTGCAGGAGGCTTACACACCACTATACTACCTGTCATTGAGAACCAAAGTGACTTCATCTGTCACTAGGTTAGAGAGTCTTGCTTTTAACTGGGATAAATACAATATGAATCTTTCCTCGTGTTTGATTACTGAGTGGATATTAAGGCAAGAAATTGTATGTTGCTAACTTGAGTTCAGTTAGTAAATCTTTGCTCTAAAGAAGTTAGTTACTTCAGGTGTTGAGCCAGAAGATAACTCTTTCTAACTTGGCTTTGTAGAGCCAGTGCTTAGATTGACTGCTACAGTGTATAGAGCTAATGCTGTCTTTTTACAATATTGAAACAAACGGTTTTTTCAAAACAAAACTTCTGACCAGTTTGCTGCTGATTTCTGGATACTGTGTGATACTCAGTTTCAGCACAGTATTCCTGTAAAAATTAAGACGTTATTTGTTAAATTTGTACCTCTAAAATTATGTAGTGATTTTTATGCATGGTTTATGTATTAGGTACATCATAATGTTTTCAAACCTTTTATACTCAAGGATTTTTTTTTAAACTAACTTTTGCAGAAGTATCTGTACGGCCAAATATGACAGTAAAAGCTGTGATCATGGATCCAGAAATTGTATTTGTTGCTAATTTGACCAGTGCTGATGCACCTGCCTTGAAAGTTTCCTTCCAATGTGACTTTTCTCTGACATCTGGAAAGCTTGTGCAAAGGATGACTGCTCAAGTGAAGGGCTTCAAAGTGTTGGTCTGTGCCTTTCTCAATGAAAAACAAGACAAGAGTGTTACTACAGTAAGAAAACTTTGTTTTTCATAATGAAAAAAGTAATAAGAACTGTTGACAGGCGAGTCGTTTAGTTGACATATCCATAGCACTCAGAAAATTTGGTTTTCATATCATTGATTATTATGAAGATAGGAAGGAACTGTTCATCTGTGGTATGCCTTTTAAAGGTGAATTTTTATCAGTAAGTACAAGACTTCATCACATAAAAGTCTGTTGAAAACCTGTGTAGTGCATTTGTAAAATAAATTAAAAGTTTCTTAGTGAAGAAATCGTGTGAGGAATTTTGAAGGCTAAGAACCCCTCTCTGTAACTGTTTACTGCCTGTCAGTTGACTTGTTGCAGCAGAGTATGCTGCACAGCATGTTGTCTGGAACTTCATCTACTGGTTCTTGGCAGGGAGCATTGAGCCACAAAAGTGGCCTGTGTGGTTCATCTCACACATGGTCTCTTTCCTTATGCATTTAGTTTTCTTAAGGTTTCAGTTTTTTTTTGACTATACTATCAGTCTATCTCTGTGTTGGGTTTTTGTTTTGTCTGTTTTTAAGCCTTATGTCAAAACCTTTTATTTCACTTAACTTTTAACTTTCCAGTACAAGCTTGCTCATGTGCAAATTTGTATGCTGGAATGACACACAGTAACGCTATGGAAAGAATCCTGTTACTCTGAAACATGCTGGTATTTTATTGGATCAGTATCCTTTTGGCCTGTGAGGTTAAAAACTACAAGACCATTGGAAAAGGTTAGATTCCAGGAGTTAGCTTTTATAATCAAATTATATTTTTTCACTTAGGTATTACGGCCATGTTCTTTGGTGATGGAAAATATGGTTCATGTCTCAGGATTACACACTGTGGTAGTGACAATAGAAGAACTTACTATAAAGGTAAGTGTGTTAAAACTGTCTTTGGAAGAACAGGTGTGTTACTTAGTCTGTAGCTTGGGATTGTTTAAATTTATGCATTGTTAGGTAAAACTTCCATTTTCCCCATTAGTTTAATTCCAGAAATAACATTTATCCTTTTCAGAGCTGCTCTGTGTTGAAAAAATCATTACGTGTTCCTTGTTTTGGCCATCTCTTGGCAAAAAAAGACTCATTTAAATATTTCAGATAGGAGGAATCCTCCTACCAATTTCATCCAGATTTATGAAACAACCCTTGCCCCTTCTGCCACTGCCATTCTTCACTTCTAACAGACTTATAAGCAGGAGCGTGCACACAAGTGCATATAAATTTAAGACTGTTAACGTGATTTCCAGAATGATATGCAATGTCAAAAACCCTGTTCTTAATAAGTAAATTAAAAATTGTGTCTATAGTAAAGGTCTTTCTGAACGTATCTTGCTAATTCTCCTGTAAAAAAATCACAAATTTGCATTTGTGGTCTGAAAAGGAGGTCAGTGATGAAGGGTTAAACTGTAAGCAACAGCACATTGTTCCTAATGCAATAGGCTTTTGACAGATGTACTGTACTACTAACGGAAATGCTGGTGTGCATAGGTCTGCATACATGCTTTTTTGAACACCTTGAAGATCTTATCAATTCAAGTTTTACAGTACAGTAGGGAAAAGGTGATATTGACTGCTGTTAAGTGATTACCAGGTATCAGTAAAAATGAAATTCCATTCTGAGAACTTTGTTCTTGAGCCTATGGGATAGTGAGAGAGGAATTGGGAAACTCTGTAGGAAAGGAAAATAAGAGGAGGTCCGTGAATGGATTCTGTTTCTTTATCTTGGAATTTAAGTTGCATCTCTTACAAGGGCCTTGATTTCCTGTGTGCTTGTATGAAGAACCTGAGTTATTTGCTATTTCCATTTACGATACATTTTGTAAGTGCATAATTTTTAAAATATTTTGATCTATTAAAGATTGATTTTTTTTGTTCAAGATCTCGCCAATTATTCTGAACACTGTGATGCCATAAAACCCAAAACAGCAGAGGAGGATTCTAAAGGAGCAACTGAAGTTTCTGAGGATTTGTGGCAAGTGAAGCCTATTGATCAGTGCAATGCTTGGTTTCTTGGTGTTGATGTAGCCACAGAAGCAACAGAAAATTTTAAGGACCGTGAACATATTCTGAAACAAGAGAAATTTGACGTTGTAGTGCAATCAGTGCAGATCACCTTGGAATGTGGTTTGGGACATCGTACTGTCCCTTTATTGTTAGTAGAGTCTGTGTTTTCAGGTGTCGTTAAAAACTGGTCCTCGCTGATGGAGATCACTGCTGATATGTCACTGGAGGTACGTAGAATCAAATCGTTAGCACTTGAAAACACTTCTGCTTTTTTTGTAATGTTCAAGCAACTTTTTAGTACACTTTTATATGCTAAATTAATAATAGGTTTAAATTTAATGCTCTTGGGAGTTGTTCAGTATCCAGGCAAGTAGTGCTAAGCATACTGTGTTTTTTACAGAAACTCTGCAATCAATAGTAGATTTTAATGGCAGTTGCTGCTGTGTTTTTTTTTTTTCTCTAGCATTGTCTTTATTGGTAAGATAGAAGTTACACTCTTCTCTCAACCTCTGCATCTTGGATTCTAATCACACTATATTTGTTTTGCCAGCTATTGCAGATTTTTGCCCCAGGATATCATAAATTCCAAGATGGTATAAGTCTCTTAGAGAGGCAGCATGTTAAAATTTCATACAACCATATGTGCTCTGTGCAATAGGTTAACTACGTCTTAATTTTGTCAGTTCACTAATTACGCCTCATACTCGGTTCTGTACTGGGTATGCAAGTAGCCTTCTTTCATTGCTGGATGTGCATATCATAAGAGAGTATGAAAGATGCATGCCTAATCATATACAACTGAGGGAAGGCCTTGTGGTTCCAGAACCAGGAAGGGATGGGGAAGATAGCTGAAAGGGAGTGTCCAGAACTATTTGGTCCACCACTTGTATTCAGATTTGCAGTGGCTGAAGTAAAAACTTGGTGTAGGCTATGATTTAGGTGAGTTGTTCCAGTGGACCAGATTCAGACTAAAGTTTGCTCAGTCTGATTTTTGTTTCTTATTACAATGAAGTACTTGCAGTGCTGAAGTTTGTGATCTCAAAGTCGTGCTTTCAAACAATATAGGAGAGGATAGAGACTACATATTATTAAGCAAAGGTGTTAAAAAATACAGAATTACCATGTTTCTGGTTGCTCTAAAAGCAAGCTAGGTAGTAAATTCTTCAAAGATGATGTCACTTACAAAAAATGTATGATAAATTGCATTTCTGTATGTTAATTTTTGAAGTCATCAAAAGTTAATGTTAGACCTCCAAAATGTGAAATGAAGATGAGTTGTTTTCTTAATTTTTTTGGTACTAAATGCTATCAGACGGAACTCAGTCTTTTATTTTTAGATGCCTTATTTCATTTTGATTCTTCCTTTAGATTCATTATTACAATGAAAGCTATGCAGTGTGGGAGCCGTTTATTGAACGAATTGAAGGAGGAAAGAAACAATGGAGTTTAAAGCTGGAAGTATGTAAATATACTTGAAATTATTGGAAATTTTTGAGTGTGAATAAACAGCTATTTCTTAGAAGTTTTATGTGACAGAACATTGACCTTTTGAATGCTGTTGCTTTGAGGGAGCTATACAATTTAATGCTTCAGACATCTGAAGGTTTTTCTGAATGTTAATTGTCCAGTTGTTGTGGTTGGACCCCAGCCAGCAACTCAGCACCACATGGCTGCTCGCTCACTACCCCCTGGTGGGATGGGGGAGAGAACTGGAAGGGTAAAAGTGAGAAAACTTGTGGGTTGAGATAAAGACAGTTTAACAGACAAAGCAAAAGCTGCACGCACAAGCAAAACAAAACAAAGAATTCCTTCACTACTTCCCATCTGCAGGCAGGTGTTCAGTCATCTCCAGGAAAGCAGGGTTCCATCACCCATAATGGTGACTTGGGAAGACAAACATCATCACTCCAAATATTCCCACCTTCCTTCTTCTCCCCCATCTATATGTGCTGAGTGCGATGTCATACGGTGTGGAATATCCCTTTGGCCAGTTGGGGTCAGCTGTCTTGGCTGTGTCTTCTCCCAGCTTTTTGTGCACCCCCAGCCTACTCTCTGGTGGGGTGGGAAGCAGAAGAGGCCTTGACTCTGTGTAAGCACTGCTCAGCAGTAACGAAAACATCCCTGTGTTATCAACCCTGTTTCCAGCACAAATCCAAACCGTAGCCTGATACTAGCTACTATGAAGAAAAACGCTACCCCAGCCAAAACCAGCACACCAGTGCATGGGCAGAACGTAGTGCATAACCGCACATACGAAGAGGAAAGAAAATAATTTGCTTGCCTTCAATGTTCGTATAAAATTTATCTTTGGGTAAGGTGTCCGAGATTTACGAAGTAAAGTAGATTTTCTTTTGCTTGGTGGAATTGTCAAATGTAGGTCCAGTTTTTTTTCCTGTTTTAACATAGGAGGAAGTAATCTCTGTGTTTGTAATTGCCTAATGAAATTTTTGTTTTAGATGAAGACTAACCCTGTCCAAGAGAGAAGTTTGATGCCTGGGGATGATTTTATTGTTCTTCCTGAGCCACAAACTGCAGTTAACATCTCGTCGAAGGATACGATGAATATAACGATATCCAAATGTTGTCTTGCTGTTTTCAGTAATTTAGCCAAGGTAGTCCGAACAGGCAGAAGGTGCCGAATTGTGTGGTTCTGTAGGAAGTTCTGTTTTGCTTTTTTTAAAGAACTCTCTGTACTGCTGATCATGAGCCAGTGACTGTTCTGCAGCCGTGACAAATGTTATCTGTCGGGGCTGAGGAGTTGTACTCTGGTTAGTCCTTTAGGGTTAACAAAAAGGTGGTACTAGCTTTTGAAAGAAGCAATTTCTGTGTTAGAAAAACAGCTGTGCTTGTGCAAGACTTAAGGAACAGTCCTACAAGCAGGTTGAATGAAAATAATACCCTCCAATAAACACAACTGTTTCCTGTAATCCTTTTTCTGAAATATTAAAAGAGAAATTTACCTCCCTTCCATCTTATCTCCTTAATAGAATGCTAAGAAAACTATATGTTTTAGGATTGGCCTTCAAACTGTAGAAGTAGAATGTCCTGTGTGTTAAAAATAATTTTTCCCTGTTTTTCGTGTGATAGTAGGTGTGCTTATGAATGTCCTAGGCTTTTTTCCCTTTTTTTATGGGTGGGAGAGATTTTGGTTACTAAATCAAGCTATTTTTACACAATGTGACTTATGCCTATTTATTTTTTAACTCTAAATGAGCACTGGTTCTCAAAGTTAGTACTTGCTTATAGTGTAAGTCTATTGGCAGTCAGATACCGTGGCTTTTGTGTACATAAACAAACGTATGTCAGCATAAGTTGGGGCTGAATATGTACATGGTCAATGTGCTTGGGACTTCTGTGTCCCAGATTTTATTTTTCTCTTACAACCCAACTGCTGTAGAAAATACTGAGGAGTGTGAGCGCTTATTGTAGCATAAACATTTGCTGCAAATCAGAATAAGAATGATATTTTCTGCAAGTTACCTTTACTTCCTTGCAATATAACTATGCAAAGCATAAGTGTTCCTATAGATACATGTTTTCTTTTTTCTTTAAAAGGGTAGTTGTGGGAACTTTTAAAGCCTTTATGTGTATGTTATTGTGGTTATTTATGTATGACATACTTTATATCTTGTTAATTACAGGCATTTTCAGAAGGGACTGCATCCACGTTTGACTATTCCTTTAAAGAGACAGCACCTTTCATAGTGAAAAATGCCCTAGGTGTTCCTCTCAAAGTGCTTCCTAGCTCAAGTTTTCGGATAGTTGGTTCAGTTGAAAAAGAAAACATGCATGATGTAGACATTGGTCAGAACATGGAACTGGAATACTCTGTTTTCGAAGCACCCCAACGAGGAAAGCTGTCTGCATTGTACCGACAAGAAAGCTCTGTCTTCTCTTTAAATTTAGGTATTGTGCTGGAGAACACAGTGTGTTATAACATGTTGAGAATGGGAAGATGGGGGAGTCAACATGGTTAAATTCAATGTAGTGAAAATTCAGGTTAAGTACACTGTGTTGAAACTACTTTTGAATACTGATGGCAGTTAAAAAAAAATAATTAAACCAGCTGCTGGACTGCTTAAAAAGATGTAAAATCCCTCTCCAGTTTTTCAGAGAGTAAAAAGTACAATATTTTTTCTCCCTCTTTACAAAAAAATGGAATACGCTCCAGTGGAGTTGTTGATAGGCCATCTTACCAGACCCCTGGGACATAGGCCTATGAGTTCCAACTCGTGTTAAACAGGATTTTCATTCTTCATATCCCTACTACCTTTGGCTTTCTGTAGTTACCCAGTTGAAAGCAGTTACGATTTTTCTGTGTGTTCAGCTTTGCCAGAAAATACTCCTAGGAAAATAGGATAGAAAAACTACTAATACATAATCTGCTGGTTTTCTTTCCTTTTCATCCCATAGGAAGGTGCTTGGCCATGACACAAAATCATGTTCTGTGTTGCATTTTGTTAACTTACTCAACAAATACTTTTGTTTACTGTTCGCTGTCTTGATTGTGTTATGTAGAAGTTGAAGTCTTCAAGAGTATTCTGACCTTAAAGCTTGCCTTCAGTGGTGCTCAAATACCTTTTCAAGGTGCATTTGACAGAGTGCTTTGATCCTGGTTGTTGCTGAGTTGAGAGAAGCTTAAGTGTTGTTCATATAGAAAATGTTTGTGTGATTTGTTTTGCCTAATTAAGACTTTTGTATGTTTTTATGGATTAGGACTTCAAGGATATAAAGAAGTGGTAAACATTCCCATAGCCAAACCAGGTCGACGACTGTACAACGTGAGAAACCTTGTTGACTGTTCAGACTCGATCATTGTACAGATAGATGCTACAGAAGGAAATAAGGTTATTACTGTACGATCTCCTCTGCAGGTAAAAGAAACAACCAACCAAACCAAAATCCTGAAAACAGTGATCTTATCTGAATGACTTTGCTTTTTTCCTTAATGCATTTTTTGTGATGATACTTCTTCCAAAAGGTTACTTGAAAGCAAAATATTAAGTATGTTACTCTATTTGTTACATGAATTTTGATCTGTGTTCTGTATGTGTGTGTCTTCCTGATAAATGAAAAATTTGGTTTTTACTTTTAAGTTTTGGCTTTCTGTTATCTTCAACACTGAGGTTGGCATATGTAGTTTTTATGTGACCTGACACTTTAAGTGTGTTTTTCAATTCATGGAACTTAAAAGTAGCATAGTTTTTCTCATCTGCTTGCGTACTGTTCTCCTTCAGAAATGTATTTCTTACTAAGACACATAGAACTCTGATTTTCAGAGGAGTTTAATGAAGTCTACTAATGTTGTTTTTCCTTGTTGCTGTTCATACTATTTCCTTTAGAAATTTGCAACATAGAAATGTAATCAATTTATGCATTTTGATCCTAGATCAAGAACCATTTCTCAATCCCATTTATAATCTATAAACTGGCTAGAGACTCCAAGTCGCTGGAGCCAATTGGCATATCCAAGCCAGAAGAGGAATTTCATGTTCCTTTACATTCATACAGGTACACTCTGTTCTGTAGGGCTAATCTTTGTGAGTGATGCACAAATACAGCATTAGGGTGGAAGCTTAAATTTGCACTTGGAACTCTTCCTGACTGAGCTAAAAAACCAAACTGCTACCTTTATTAGGAAGTTAGTGTGCTGCAGAATATTAGCAATTACTTTAAAATTAATTAAGTTAGCTGTCAATGTATAACTATTGTGTACTATTATCTGCCTTCTTCCCATAGGTGTCACCTATATGTTCGACCAACAGGAATGTTAGAGGGTCAGTTCAATGAGTCCACGACTTACATTGTCTGGAGGGAAGAGCTACATAGGAGCAATGAAGTGAAGTGCTTGTTACAGTGCCCAGCCACTGAGACAAATTTCTTGCCTCTAATAATCAGCTCAACAGCTGTACCTGATGAACTAAATTTCATTTCCACTTCTGGAGGGGAGTGGGATCCTGCCTACATTATCCACTTTTACCCTACACTGACTGTGAGGAATCTTTTACCATACTCCTTGAGATACTTACTTGAGGTGAGTAAGTTTAGGGTTTTATTTGTAAATCCTTCACTTATTTTAAGTAAGACTGTCTGCATTTAGAAGTGGAGATGCATTTAGTGTGGAAGATACTACTGAATGTTGTTTTTTACATTTTCTGTTGAGTTTTTTACATTTCTGTTGAGTGACAGTAAAATATAGTGTTTCTCAGTAAAAATTAGGAAAGCTGTTGTGGGATGCTACTGCCTGAGGAAAGCCGTGCTACCAAACAGGATGGCACAGCTGCATACTTTCTGCCTTGGGTGTTCTTCGGTGTGAAAAATCCTGGCTGTACATCTGCAGCACAGTCCAATTCAGTGTTCGCTCCTGTATTGTAAGTGTATCAATAAGAGCTCATTGCCAAAATCCATTGGGAAATAAGGTAACAGAGGCAGAGGTTACACTGGAACTAGTTTGCCTTCCTGAAATCCAGAATTAAGCAGTCTTTACTCTCCTGTAAGAAAAGTGCAGTTGATCTCAAATTATTCATAGGATCAGGCTCAAATGAAGGTGATATGGAGATTGGCACATGTGGTGCTGAGATCTTCTCTCGCAGGATGCACGTTTCAGAATAAATTGATGTTTGAATACCTAAATTTTATATATTAAAAACTAAATTTGCCTCTTGATTTTTTGCTACAGGGAACAGCGGAAGCCCGGGAATTGGTGGAAGGGAGTGCTGCAGATGTTTTTCATTCAAGAATCAGTGGAGAAATAATGGAGCTTGTATTGATAAAATATCAAGGCAAAGACTGGAATGGGCATCTTAAAATTCATGATGGGATGCCTGAATTTTTTTCTGTGTGTTTCACATCCCATTCTGCAATGGTGATGACGGTGGATATTTACATACACACTAGGCGCATTGGAAGCCGTATGATCTTGTCTGTGTTCAGTCCTTATTGGATAATCAACAAGACCTCCCGTGTTCTCCAGTATCGAGCTGAAGACACTCACGTGAAGCATCCAGCAGACTACAGAGATATTGTTTTGTTCTCCTTTAAAAAGAAAAATATTTTTAGTAAAAATAAGGTATGCTTACTTGAAGCTGCGGTTGGGATGGTGTTTTAAAATCCTGCTCTGAAGGGGAAAACACACACATTGTGTCTGAGGATTTTTTTGGTAGTATTTAAATTCATGTGCTTTCATTTGATTGCTGCTTTCTTCTTGTTAATGATAGTTTTTGGACTAAGTAGAAGGGAAAGCAGGTAGACAAAAAGTTATTGCAGCTTTTTCCAGGTCTTGCACTGCTTAGAGCTACTTGGCCAACTTTCATCCTGGCCAGGTGATAGAGCGGTTAGGTCCGGAGAACTCAGTGGGTACGCTACTGGAAAACTGTTTCCTTGAGGAGGGCAATTTAATGTAGAAATGTAAAATAGGAGCGTGGACTCCCTTCACAGTCAAAAGGAAGACTGCTCTGAATCTTTCTCTAGAGGCATTTTCCACTGATTAAAGAGCTCTTTGACATTTTAAATGCACAATGTAAATATTCTGTCCTATGTTAAAGATGTTTCTTTTGTTTTGACATATTTGCATGGTCAAATGATGAGTACTGTAGTTGAGGATTTTTCTCTGAAGTGACCCTTCTTTCCTTGTAAATTATCTTTTTTCACCTGACAGTAGTTGATGATTGAAGAAACAGTTTTGACAAGGTGTTTTTTTGATTATTTCCTCCACCCTCTTCAAGTTTGTGAAGGACGACAAAACTTTAGGTTTTTTCTTCCCATCTATGTCTGTGTTCTCATTGACGTGTATGTTCATGACAACTCCTCTATTTTGCTACCTTTTACCCAGAACTCAGGCACAGACTAAGAAATCGGGATATGACTAGTGATACTACATGCTTAAGCTTATCTTAACTTACAGAAAGTTTTAAAAGCACTTAAGTGTTGTCTTTATACTGCTACATGTGATAAAATTACACTCTACAATGCATGAACTATAAACCTAAAATGAATTTATTGAAGTACTTCCCGTGTTGTTCTTTCATGTGTAGATCCAGTTATGTATTTCAACTAGTACTTGGTCCAGTAGCTTTTCCCTTGATACTGTAGGAAGCTATGGATGCGTCAGGTGTTCAGCTAATAACATGGACTATCTGGTAAGATAATTTTCTGCGTTTTGTGGAGCTCTCTTGGGGTTCTTTTGGCTTGACTTTTTTTTTCTTTAAGATCTTTGTTTCACTACTTACAGTGCTTTTAAATCATGGGAGTATTTAACATCTAGAGTAATAATTTTTATGCCCCAGCTCTTCAGGTCTGCATCTGGCAACAGGTAATTTCACTAACAAGAAGTTTCAGTGCAATTCATAATCATGTGGTTTATGGAAAATACAATGGCGAACTCGCATAGTGGAGACTAGTGTTCGTATTGAAAATTCATAATAGTTTGTGAGTGTTTAGATCTTCACTCAGCAGCCTTGCCTAAGTACGTTTCCACAACTAAGCAGAATGAAGAATAAGCTTCACAATAATATGCAGATATGTGGGGAGATGCCTTTCCATATACTTTTCAACTGACCTCTGATGATACAATCATTTTAGGTTGTCTTAATTTACTGTAGAGGAATTCCTGTTGGATTTTCCCCACAAATGCCATAGCTACAAGATGCTACAGCTAAAATTGTCTCTTCACCATTATGTTTGTGCTGCATAGTCCGCTGCATTGTACTGCATGCAGTTTGGTTTTTTTATTACAGGCGTTCAGAAGAGGAGTGTTGTGTGCTAGCCTGTGTAATTACAGTAACGTTGGCTTTTCTTTTTTTCCATCTTGACTTCTCTTAACTGTGTTGTTGATTGTTTGCTCAAATTGTCCTTGTTCAACAGGTTGGAGTTACCATCAAAATGAGCAGTTTTAACTTGACCAGGATAGTTACCTTCACTCCATTCTACACAATAGCAAACAAATCTTCTCTGGAACTAGAAGTTGGAGAAATTGGTCCTAATGGCTCTTTTCCAACTAATAAATGGAATTATATCTCAGCTTCAGAGGTAGTGTTTCATTTTTTTCGGTTGAATGTTACTATAGACAAACAACTGGTCTCTAGCTGTCACTTCAGGAAAAAGCAGATATCTTTCAGAAGCTTGGTCATTTCTGATGGCACCATCTGGATACTTCACATGTAGGGCAACTTGAACAGCGTAGGTTGCATATGTTGGTAAATTAATCAAGTCCATCAGGTTAGATAATTTACTAAATGTAGATGAGATGTTTCAGTAGATACTGGGGCAAGAAATAAAGCATTTGAAATGATTTTAATCACACAAGACTCTTTGTGTTACTGCTGGCTTACTGTATTGAACACATGTGAACTGTTAATAACATGTTTCTTCTTCTACAGTGTCTTCCGTTTTGGCCTGAAAACTCATCTGGTGAACTTTGTGTAAGAGTGGTTGGCTATGAAAGCTCATCCAAACCATTCCTGTTTAAAGCCCAGGATAATGGTACTCTGCTGAGGCTGGAAGAATTGGTGAGACTGCCTTTGTGTGACCTGTTCTTAAAGCTCCATTTTAGCCTTACAGTATTGAATTTAGGAAAGCTTGACTCCCCAAGGTCATCAAGGTTGAAACTTTGTGCCTTAAGGTGTTGGTGCACTGCACTTGGGTTATATTGCATAAAAAAGGTTGTCAGTCAAGTTCGCAGTGTTGTTAATATTTTCATAACATGTGTGAAGTGATCAAGTTGATTTAGTTTTGAGAAGCTTATAGGAAGCTGAACAGCTCTATTGCTATTAAATTAAAAATGGTATACTGCACCTCTTAACATCTGTTCTTTTGCAGAAGATATTTTTATGTGCCGCCAGTTTTTTTTTTTAAATAGTCATCCTAAAATAGAATTTATCTTTTGTTTTCTTGATAATCTATCATGATTATCATGTTGGAGACACAGTTCATGGCTAAAATAATTTGATTTGTTTAGTACAATCTTAATTATTTCAGAAATCACCCTAGTCTAGCGTTAGAGAATGCATATATAAATGTAGCATGTTCAGACAAGTCTTTGGAGATAATGCTTATCATAATTAGCTGAAATACAAGTGACACTGAGGATAATCTAGCTCTCCAAGTTTGCTGAAGCAGTTTGAAAAACTTTTTTTGGAACGAGATGTCATCAATGATCTGGTGTTCTGTTGATGTTAATTAGAATAGTGATTACTTTTTCTTCACTCTTCTAAGATAGTAGATGGTTCAGCTTTGCAAGAGAAAGCTTTCTAGTCTCATATGTAGTGAGATTTTACTGCTACTATGTAGAGGGCTAATTTCTCACATCACTCTGATGTGTGCTGGACAATCTGTAAGATCGTCTTTCTCAAAGGTAGACGTGTCCCCTCTCACCTCTACTCCAGACCTTACAGCATAATGAAATGTCAACTTATCTCACTAGACAAGCATTCAAGAAAGCTATCTGAAGAGACTCTCCAAAAGGGAAAGGCTGAGGTACCTCCTTTATATAAGCAAATGATAAAAATAGCGCTGTGCATACCTCCAATACCTTGCAAATATACTGGAAGAAAGCAGGATCTGGAAAGCCACTAGAAGAAAGACTTACAATGATTTGTTTAGAAGTTTAATCAACAGAACTTTTCTGCTCAGTGATCAGTTTGTTAATATGCTATTGTTATATTTGTTATGACTTAAAAACTTTAGTTCACTTGTCTAGAGTAGCCTTTCAGTTTTTTTAAGGGGTATGCAGGAAAGTGCAGTTTTTAAAGATAACTTCAACTTTTGTAACAGCAAATGAAGGGACTGCTTGCCTATACTTTTTACTGAACTTGGACAAATAAAGTAGTTCTTTAAAATGTTAAAATTTGAATATAATTCTTCAATTAAGTTAAATCAACAAGTAGTTTGTAGATGCTACTGATACCTTTCTTAAGCCAGTGGCCATGATTTCAGCTTACCATTACTAGATAACAGAGTACGTTTCTTTTCTTCATTTGTTTTTACACATCTTACAAAGACTGATCTAAAAATAATAATTTAGTCTGTTCTAACTTGAATTTATGCATAGAACAAATATTGAACATTCTGTCTAACTTTCTTTCCAGAATGGGGGCTTACTGGTAGATGTGAATGTTTCTGAGCATTCTACTCTCATAAGCTTCTCAGATTACCATGAGGGAGCTGCTCCAGCTCTTATTGTTAACCATACTTCATGGGACTCTCTCAGATATAAACAGAGGTATGTGAAAGAAACTGTTCACCATTGGTTGCTTGACCAGGGTGTATCCTTTGTGCAGAAAGTAGTTCTATTTTACCATTATGGTACTTTGGAAAATAGAAAAAAACCTTTTCTTCACTATAATCTTTTAATGGAGTATTTTATGTCTACTTTGAAGCAGTCTTCATAGTTTGGGAAAGTGGAGAGAATAAAGTGGGACTACAGATCTTAGTTCACTAAGAACTTAGTTAGAGCTGGACTTGTTTGGAGTGGGTAGCCTAGGCCCTTCATGCCTCACCCCAGCAGCTGGAGGGATGGAGTATATAGCACCGTAATCTGCTTGCACCTCTTCAATCAGTGGTCTTAGCCAGTGAATGCTGTCATTTTACTCCTTTTCTTTTAACCTGCAGTGGATTACAAGAGGAAATGGAGTTGAAACCAAAGCAAGTATGCCTGTTTGCATGGACAGATCCTACTAAAACAAGAAAATTGACTTGGGGCTACTCCCAAAATTTTGGTGAACATGATCTGCTTAAGGTAAATGTCGAAAAGGGAGAAGTAAATGCAGAACCAATCTAGGACTAAAACAAGTCTGTGATTATCTGGGAGAAAGCTGCTTCAGTTAACTGCGTCCATCTTGTCTTGTAAGAGGCTTTTGAGCCTGCTCTCAAGTAGCAAGATTTTAGATGTTTAGATTAATATAATTGGAGGATTGATCACAAACTCCAACCTGCATTTTCTCCATGGTTTTCTTGGGTATGAAAGAAGAAGGGTAAAGTGTATGAGCTGTGGAAGTATCTAAATAACATAGAAGATGAATAATTCACCAGTTTTCTAGTAGTGCTGCATTTGGCTTAAGTATCTCCATAAAGATGGAGAAAACCCTTAAACTCTTGACTGTCGTGACTTGCTTCCTATGGGAAATGCTTGCGTGGAGCAGAAGACTGAGTTGCTCACTAAGAGCTATTTCAGTGTTTAACTACTGCAGTATTAAAATAGGAAAATGTGTCAAGTGGGTGCAAAATAACAATGATCAAGATAGAAAATGAGTGA